AAGCTCAGAAGGGCATTGGGAACAACACCAGAGGCTCAAAACACCAGTTGCTCATAGATAGAGCAGTTGCTCAAGGTCTAGGCAAACCAATCTGAGCACAGCCTGGATTGACTACAGGAAAGCCTATGACTCAATGCCACACACATGGATCTGCGAATGCCTGGCACTCTACAAAGTCAACAGGACTTTAAAGACCTTCCTCAAGAACTCAATGGAACTGTAGAAGACAACACTGGAAGTCAACTCAAGACAGCTCACACAAGTGGCCATCAAGTGTGACATATACCAAGGAGATGCACTGTCCCCGCTGCTGTTCTGCATAGGCTTAAACCCCCTCAGCCAGATAATCACAAGGACTGGATACACATACAAGTTCAAGAATGGAACTCCCATCAGCCATCTGCTCTACATGGATGGCATCAAGCTATATGCTAAGAGTGAACAAAACATCGACTCGCTGATCTACCTGACATGGATCTACAGTGACATGATTAGTATGTCATTCGGACTGGAGAATGTGGCTGGATGGAAGTAAGGAAAGGGAAGATAGTTAAGACAGATGGAGTGGAACTATCAGTGGGCCACATAGCAGACATAGAGACCAGCTATAAATACCTTCGTATGCCACAGTCACATGGGAACCATGATGAGGAGGCTAGGAAGACAGCAACATCCAGGTACCACCAAAGGATAAAACAAGTCACGAAGAGCCAGCTCAAGTGGGAAGAGCAAGATCCATGCCATCAACATGTATGCCCTGCCAGTCATCAGCTATCCTGCTGGTATAGTCAGCTGGCCAAAGGAGGACATGGAGGCTGCCAATGTGAAGACCTGGAAGCTCCTCACAATGTACGGAGGTTTCTACCCCAAGTCCAACACCCAGAGACTGTGCACCAACTGGAAAGAGAGCGGGCAGGGTCTGGTGAGTGTCAAAGCCACTGTCCTGGACCAAACAGAACAGAGCATCCAGGAGTACATCAGTAAGATGGCACCCAAAGATGGGCTGCTGGGAGAATGCCTGAGGCAGCAGCACACAGGGTAGGAAAGTTAAGTGGAGGAAGTGCCATGGCAAGACAAGCCCCTGCATAGGATGTACCATTGACAGATAGCTGAGGTGGCTGACACTGGGAAATCCTATCAGTGGCTGGAAAGGGCTGGACTAAAAGACAGCACTGAGGCACTGATCATAGCAGCACAAGGACAGGCACTAAGCTCCAGATCCATGGAAGCAGAGGTCTACCACACTAGACAGGACCCAAGGTGCAGACTGTGCAAAGAGGCCTCAGACAGTTCAACACATAGCAGCAGGATGTAAGATGCAGGCAGGAACAGTATACACTGAATGGCACAACCAAGTAGGTGGCATTGTGTACAGAAACATTTGCACAGTGTATGGGCTAGACCCTCCCAAGTCCAGATTAGAGTTTCCACAGAAGGGCATGGAGAACAAAAGGGACTTCCAGATCCAGATGGACAGGCAGGTACTGGCCAATTAACCGGACATTGTGGTAGTAGACAAGGACCAGAAGATAGTGGTGGTGATAGATGTAGTGCCACCAAGTGACAGCAACATCAGTAGTATGAGAAGCTGGAGAAGTACCAAGGCCTGAATGAGGAACTAGAGAGGATGTGGAGAGGAAAGACCCCTGTGGTGGTAGGAGCACTTGGGGCCGTGACTCCTAAGCTGGGAGAATGGCTCCAACAGATCCCAGGAACAACATCAGAGCAATCTGTCCAGAAAAGTGCTTTGCTAGGAACAGCTAAGATACTACGCAGAACTCTCAAATTCTTAGGCCTCTTGTAGAAGACCTAAGATTGAGGAAGTCACATACCACCCATATTGGTAAGAGGGGATTTTTTAAAAATAATGTTGATTATTACGTTTTTCCTTTCAATTTTAAAACAATTAAGCAGATAATTTTCAATTTTTTCCCACATGCCATCCATTATATTATCACATAATGCTTTGGATGACCACCATATAAAATGTGGTTGGACCAAGATTTTTCTTTGAGCACTATGTACACCTGGTCTACAGATGACATCTGCAGAAACCCAAATAAATGCATTGCTTTTGTATTCCAGTTTGTATACTGAAATCTGGGACAAATACTGTATACCAAAAGAGAAAATGTTTCATGTATGAATGCTAGGATTCTGCAAGATATCATGATATTTTCAAATTTGGGAGACTATTAATCACAGATTATAGGGGTTATCCTTGTTCCTTGCTTTATATGCTGGGAAACCTCAAATTTAGTAATAAATAGATATATGCACCAGAACAAATTATAACTTTTGATGAAACCATTTCTTTGCAACCCAATGTTTTCATAAATTATAGGAGTTTATTACTGACCTATCATGCTTGAAATCTTCCCCTGTGGACATGGAACACAATCATAGCAGCAGAACATTTTTGCTTCAGACCTCTTCCAATAACCAGGCAGACAGTACTCATTACACAAAGAAACTGGAAGAACCTGTTCATAACATTAAAAAAATGTTGCAAAAGGAAACACCAAGGTTTTCTCAGTGGGTATAATGGAGGAACCTGATATAAGTTTTAGGGAAATTTGTGCAACAATCTTAATGAATATGATACAGGGTAAGAATTCTACTACTGAAATGAATGGATGGATGGGAAGATGAGATGGTACTGAAAAAGTGATTAGACCATTTAGGATTCAGGAATGAATGAGAATGGGACTCTTTGATTCCCCATGAGTCAACTACTCCTCCCGTAAAGAACGTCATGGCCAACGGGAATCAGTTGGATATATTTTAATTGAAATATGTTTCAATATTTAAGAGATTATAAAATGTACACAAATTTCTTATATATAGTTAGAGGTAGACCCATTCAAGAATACCTGGTTAAAACCTTTGTGCCATTCAATCTTATTTTCATTAATGATCAATTCATTTTCATATGGAGCATTGGGATCTAACCTTCCAACCTTCACTTTCTGGATGGAATTGTTTGGAAAAGCGATCATGTTGATGATGTCAAATCCTCCTGTGACTTCCCTCTTCTCATTAAAGGACACTGTCTCTCCTGCTGAGTTGTTGAAAGAAATGCCTTGAAGAAATGGGTGGAGCTGCTTGAAAAGGAAGGAA